GACAGAACCTGTAGAACCCAGACCGAACCTGTAGAACACAGACAGAACCTGTAGAACCCAGACCGAACCTGTAGAACCCAGACAGAACCTGAAGAACCCAGACAGAACGTCTGGAACCCAGACAGAACCTGTGGAACCCAGACCAAACCTGTAGAACCCAGACCGAACCTGTAGAACCCAGACAGAACCTGAAGAACCCAGACAGAACGTCTGGAACCCAGACAGAACCTGTGGAACCCAGACAGAACCTGTGGAACCCAGACAGAACCTGTAGAACCCAGACAGAACCTGTAGAACCCAGACAGAACCTGTAGAACCCAGACAGGACCTGTAGAACCCAGAACCTGAGGACCTCTGATCTGTTTTCTTCGTAGCTAACCGTGACGACTGCCAGGCGCTAACTTCCTGCTGAAACGTGTGCGTATGCGTTTGTGCGTGTGAGGGGTCATGTCGAGCATGACGAGTGGCGTGTGCGTGGACAGTGACCTCTCCTCCATGCTCCAGAGAAGCTCCGCCCCCTCTCACCACCATCCCAATCACCATGGCTACGGTGGACAGGGACAGGTGAGTGGTTTGTCCCCAGATCTCACCTGAACTCTGGATCTGTTTGTGTTTTACCTGATGTGACGTCTGATGATGCGTTTTTCCATCATGGCGGTCTTTGCTTCAGGTGTCGGGCCTGGCGCCGATGCTGGACTACACCACGGAGATGGACCGGTACCGCTCGTCCATCGCCAGCTTCTACAAGACCAACGTGAACATGAACATGAACATGAACGTTACAAACTTCCCCCAGTCCGCCAAGCTGGCGGCACGGCTGGCGGCCGCCGCTCCCATCTTCCCCCCGGCCGCCGCCAGGCTGGGCGCTATGGCCACGGCACCCTGGGGTTGCCACGACAACATGAACMTGAACCACCCGGCGGCCATGTTCTGGGGCCGACCCAAGCCCGTGGCGACGGCGCCGGCGCATCAYCACCACCACCATCCGTCGGCGACGCCGGGTCACATGACCCCCTCCTCCCACCCCCACAGCARCGGTGGCGTGCATCAGAGCAGCAGCGGGTCAGGAGGGGGCGGAGGGGGAGGGGGCAGTGAAGGGGGAGGAGCCGAAAAACACGGACACACTGCGTCGCTTCCTGTTACACAAGGACCTGCGCACCATCACCCCATGGCACCGAGCAACGGGAACTTCCTGCCCGGCTACGGCGGCGGGGCGGACTGCGGCGTCATGAACAAGCAGGGACACGCCCACGCAGACATGATGGGCCTATCAGAGGGAGGCAGCTGCAATGGGGGAGGGGTGATGACTGGTGGCTTCCTGGGGGGGCTGGGATTACCCCCTGGGGTGATCGTCATGGCRATGGGGTCTGCAGGAGGCGGGATCTCAGACACTAGCAGCGCCTTTCAGATGACAAGTGGCCAGAGGGCGCTAACGGACTGCCAGCAGCACGCTAACTCCTCCCCCTGCCCCTCCTCCTCCTCGCCGTCATCGTCAGGGGTAACAACCGGCGGCGTCTCCCTGTCCTCGTCGTCCTCTTCGTCGTCGGGGACGGTGGCGAAGAGGAAGAGGAAGCGGTGCGGCGTGTGCGGGCCGTGCAGGAGGCTCATCAACTGCGGCGTCTGCTCGTCCTGCCGCAACCGCAAGACAGGTCATCAGATCTGCAAGTTCAGGAAGTGTGAGGAGCTGAAGAAGAAGCCTGGGGGAGGAGGGGGGGTACTGGAGGTGAGCGTGTGTGCAAACACACACATGCACACAAACACGTTACCACAAACACACAAACACGTTAACACAAACACACAAACACATTAACACAAACACACATGCACACAAACACGTTACCACAAACACACAAACACGTTAACACAAACACACAAACACATTAACACAAACACACAAACACGTTAACACAAACACACATGCACACAAACACGTTAACACAAACACACAAACACGTTAACACAAACACACATGCACACAAACACGTTAACACAAACACACATGCACACAAACACGTTAACACAAACACACATGCACACAAACACGTTAACACAAACACACAAACACACAAACACGTTAACACAAACACATATGCACACAAACACATTAACACAAACACACATGCACACAAACACACATGCACACAAACACACATGCACACAAACACATTAACACAAACACACAAACACGTTAACACAAACACAGATGCACACAAACACGTTAACACAAACACACATGCACACAAACACGTTAACACAAACACACAAACA